ATATTTGGATCATTAATTGCATGAATATCTTCTATGATAGAGTCAACAATAAAAGCAGTATCTTCATACTGGGATCTTCTAGTAGCAGTAGTTTTCTTAGGAATTGGAAATTATAAAAATACTGGGGTCTGAGGAGATGGTGGTCGCTGGCTGGAATATGTTGGATAAGTTGAAATTAAACTATTTGGGGAATTAGGAGAATAAGTTATGAGGTTTCTTATTGGTGATTGAGAAACATTTGCTGGTACTATATCAAGAGATGTTTCCATTGGTGCATTTCCTTTTTGCAAAGTATTATTCTTTGGAATTCTGATGGGGCATTTTTTAGTCCGAATGATATAACATTCTATTCATATTGTCCAAATGGTACATTGAATGCTGTCTTATATCTATCTTCTTCTTTTATCTGGATTTGCCAGTATCCTGAATTTAGATCAAATTTAGAAAGGATGTAAGCATTTATTAACCTATCTAATAAATCTTTTTTATTTGGTATAGGATACCTTATCCATTGAAGTGCTTTATTTAATGGTTTATAATTTATTACTAGTCTTGGCACTCATCTTTCTTTTTCTGCATTTTTATTGACATAGAATGCAACACAACTCCAAGGATAAGCACTTTTTCTTATTAAACCTTTTTTCAGTAATTCATCTATTTCTTTTTTGCAAAATTCTAATAATTTGGTATTCATTTGTATGGGTCGAGCTTTTGTAGGAATTTTAGTTTCTATGAAATTAGGTTCATATGGTAGACTAATCATATGTTTTTTCCTTTCCCAAAAAGCATTGGGTATTTCACTACATATTTCATTTTTTATTTGTCTTGTGATATTTTTAATTTTCTCTTTAATCTCAGTTGATTGTAATTCTTCTTCTATAATTTTATTTCTTATTTCTTCCTTTAAGGAACAAACAAAATGTTCTTTATGTTTTATACTACCTTTTACTCTATTGATTTCTTTTATTCTTGGTTTGTCTAAGAATTCAAATTTTAATTACAACCAACAACATCTGAAAATTTATAATGAATAAATAATCTACTTCCATCAGCAGTATTTAATATTTGTGTTGTTTTATCAAAATATTTTGTAGGTACCAAACCTTCATTAATACAATTTAAATCTGCTCCTGAATCTATTAAAGCTAAGGATTGAAAATTATATTCTTCCTTTACTATGATTTTTACTAACACAAACCATTTTTGTGTAATTATTTTATTTATCAAGTTTACAGATTCATTACTGTCTATTTCTTCTATTTTGGTTTCTAATGATTCAGGTTCTTCTATTATGGATTTATTATGAGTATCTATTAATTTATTAAATTCTATTTCATTAGTATCTGTTATCTCTCCTGAAACCTCAATTTTTAATTCTAATATCTTAATTCTATTTTTTAATTGTTGTACTTCTAGTTTGACTCATTTACTTCCTTTTTTAATTCTGCAATGGTTGGTTTCTTTTGGAGTGCCTCATTTCTATTAATTCTTTTTATTATTTCAGCAAAATTATATTCATCAGGGGGTTTTATTAAAGGAGTAGGCTTATTTTTTGCTTTGGTGATATTAATAAATTGAGTTATAGTTTCTCTTTTTTCATCTGGATCTATAATTTTTTCTATTAAATCTAATATTAGATTATCTTCGTTAGATAGCATATTACAAGAACATTCTTGCATTTCATTATCAGATTCTTCTAGTGAACTGGTCCATATAAGATCTTTATCTTCAATATTTCATACTAATGAAGTATCACTAGAGCTTTCTGTGGAACTATTTTCATCATCATAAATTTGTATGATATCGTATATATTTTTTCTAATATTTTCGTCTAAGATTATTGTATCTATTTTCTTTTTTACCTTGCAGTTGCTTTTGTCATGACCTACAGGTAATTTTTTCTTTCCTTTCTTATATTTGTATTTGGTGGAAACCTTTTTATGAATTTTTCTATTTTATTTTTTCTATATATCTTTCTTTCTTTTCTCTCTGGTCTATATTTTTTCTTTTTCTGCAATTTATCTTTGGATTTTTCAATATTATATCCAAATTGCTCACAGAAATCTCCAAGTTCTTTTTTACCAGTCATTCGTTGCTTATCTAATTGTTTCTTTAATTTCATATCTGTGCATAGCGCTAATCCTTCTGCACATATTTCAGCAGACAATTCTCCTAGAGTATAAGAAGAATATGGTTTTATCCCTCTATGCTTACTTTTAAGTCTATTTTTTACTTTTTCAGCAAATAAATAAGGTAATTATGCTATAAATTTTTCTTTCCAACGATCTAATTGGCTATCTTCTTTAGTTAATAGTCTTGAGAAAAATACATCTTTGTACCACTTATAATGTGAGAGTGTAAGGCATCTTAAATTTAATAATAAATCCTCAGATCTAGCTTCTAAGAGGGTTGTACTCCCCACAAAATGAAGAGTGATAGTATAAATGAGAGTATTAACAACATCACTTTCAGAATACATAACATCTTGATTTTGTTCATTTTTTATTGTCCACTGTCTAGTTGTAGTTAAGATTTGATTTTTGGCATTTTCAAGTAGATGGAAATCCCACCAACCACGGAGCTATCCAGTAAATCCACATACAATAGCTTTTGCTACTTCTTGGTCATAGTTTCCTACCATTTTACATACAGATGTATACATGGTCATATGTTTCATGGTATCACAAATTTGGTGTTCAGACATTCCATCAATATTCCAATTTACTATTGTTCTTCTTGAATAGGAAGTTGTATGGGATGTTAAGTCTTCTTCGAATTTGATGTCTACAAGAGTAGGTCTATGGTGATATGGTCTAGTTGTAGATGGTTTCCAGCTTCTATTATAAGATATTCTTTGAACATTTTGGTCGTAATTATTTTCAGTAAAAGCTATTTCTATATTTTCTATTGTATCTTCAGTAACTGATTCTTCCTCTTGAAGAGTTAATGTTTCTGATTTTTGAATTATTTTCCCTTTTGCTTTTATATCTTTATCTTTGATTTCTAGCTGGGCTAGTTTTGATATTAATTGATCCATAAGTGTTTTATTATTTTCTTCAACATGAAATCTTTCCTTGTTTATTTCAGGGGGAGGTTTAAATAATAAAGATTTATGAGATTCTTGTATGGGAGCTGGTCTTAGCATATTTTCAATTCTTAATGTTTGTCTTCCTATAGATTGCATATATAAATTAGTATAACTATTATGTTCTATTATATGGGGAATTAATTCTGATCTATGAACTATTTCTCCAGTAGTCATTTTATAAAGGGTAGCTTTTATTTCTGATATTAAGGTATTGTCTGAGTCTTTATCTTTATTAGCTCCTCTTATTATAAGACATTTTTATGGGGGATATATACTAGTGATTTTAGTTCCTTCTATTGTATTATAAGTAGTACATTGGTTTTCTAAAGTATTAATTTCAAATTTAGGGACGGAGACTCCTTTTTCTCTTAGGATTTCTCTTAGCCAAATAAAAAATTCTTTATTTTGTTTTTTAGTCTTTAGAAATTACTTATATTTTTTATGAAATAATTCTATTAGTCTTGGTTCAAATGTATTAAGATACCATGTTCTAATTTCTTTATTTTCTTTAGACAGATAGTATTTTTCAATATATTTCTTATCAATGTTTTGTTCTTCTTGTATGGTTAATATTTGAAAATCCATTTTAGTATTAGAAAAGTCTGGATCACTCTGTGCCAATTTAGATTCACTTTGTATCTTTTTATATTGAGGTATTATAATATTTTTTTTGGTTCTTAATAGGCCTTGTATCTTTGGGTTAATAGATAAAATAGAGCTTCTAGATGGTTCTAAGATTTTTTTACTTGGTCCAATTTCAAAATCATCTTTACTTGTTTTATCTTTCTTTTGACTAATAAATTGTATTTCTATGTTTCCATCCATATGTTCTATTATTCTATCTGGGATGTTTTTAGAGGGTGCTTGGAAATGTTGGTTTTCATTTTGTATAGACCAAGATTCTGGTAACACTATTTCTGACCATTCTATTGACTTAGGTATAATAGTATTAGACTTTTCTATATTGGTTTGAAATAATGTAGTTTTTCTCCTAGTATCTATTTGTATTACTTTTGGACATAAAGTATTCATAATTTTATAATATATTCTATATATTATAGCAATATTTTGAGATCCTGAGGTCATGTCAAAACCTTGATTTTTTAAATTTAATGTTAATACCTTAAGAATATTAGGATCATTTATTGAGACTGAATAATTAGGAAAACAATTAAAATATATAGGGTCACTGCATAAATTAGATTCTACCATTCCTAATAATGAATCAGAAAATTTATTATGTCTGGTATCTCTTAAACATATTAATATAGAATTATTGAGTCCTAACCTAATTAAGGGTTTAATGGTTACTTGTATTAATCATATATGTAAATAATTATACTTCTTATCCTTATGTTTTTAAATTATTTTATTTGATAGTAGTTGAAAATTTTCTTGATTACTTGTCACTGATAAAGTCTGTTCTACTGTTTTAATTGCAAAACCTACTTTCAGATTAAAGGTACCTTGTTCATAGATATCTGATGTAGGTACTATAGGTATATTCCAATTCTGTATTTGTTTTTCTATATTATCAATTAAAATTTCTTCTTTAGTTTTTATTCTAAGAGTATTACTAGACTGGGGTAATGTTTTACTGAACAGATTCCTAATGAAATTTTTCATTATTAGGTTGCGGATGAGTGCTTTCAGACCAACCGCTTTGTCTTTCTTGACCTCAGTGGCTCTCATGGCCTTAACAGTCTTTTAGACTGGGTGTCACTAGCCTCAACGCTCGGACCAACTTTCTCTAATGGAGAATTTAATTAGGTTTCTAACTAGTAAACTATTATCTCAGACTAATAATATTCTGTTGAATAAACTTTTTATAAGTATGGCTCTGATACCATTCAATGCCAAGATCAACCTATATTCAAACTATCATTCTAATCTAACCTAAGAACAGTAAGATTACAAATATAATAAATAAAGAGAAGGGAGCAATGTCTATTAATAATCAAGTAGAATAAGAAGTTTGATATATCTTTATGTTAAATACTACTCTAAATTGCATTCTGAACTATAATAACATTTATTCATATCAAATATGATAACAAACTATCATATAAAGACAAACATAGTTACAGACTCCAAACAAACATAATTACAGAAAGCATAATTACAGACTCAAAAAGTAAGAAAGCTTACTATCTGCAAATGTAGTAGCTACAGAATGTCTTCAACTCAGGTGGGCAGTAACTAGGTAGACTACTGAAGTTACAGTCACACATACACTCGCAATATCTCACAAAAGAAAATGAGTGAGGAAGAGCAAAGGGATTGAGAGAGAGAAAGAGAAGAGGAACTGAGAGTAGACGATTTCAGATGATGATTGCTTCTGAGGAGAAGTGGCCTATTTATAGGCCTAGACGTGAAATCTTCTTCTAAAACTCTTAATTTCTTTTTGGGTGATGCTTTCCAGGTGGACGGCTGTGATTCTTCCTTTGAAAGTTGTCGGCAGACAGGTGGATTCCAGGTGGAAAGGAGAATCTGCTTTTAGGAGAGGGAATATGCTTTTTAGAAAAGAAAGGGAGAAGGAATCTGTTTTTTAGTTTTTGATGTTTATCTTATCCTCTAGGTGGCATCTTTTGAAAAGATGTTGTGGGTAGCTGGCATTATTGAGGACGTCTGGCATATACAACAGCTTTCAGAGGAATCTTGTACAGGTATGACTATTGTAGCTGTCTTGTCTTGGAGCAGTCTTCTAGAAGCTTTTGGATTATTGGGTTATTAGGCCTGGCCGGGCATAATATAATGTTTGCTTTTGTGAACACCCATGGGCAAACTGATCTTCTTATTCCTCTACTTCCTTTTCTTCTTCATTATGAATTTGTGTTGCAGAGGTTCAGACATTATTTGGGATCCTGATCCCCATACCGCAAACCAATTACGAAACCAGTTTAGGAAACGATCAGTGATTAGCATTTTGAATTGGAGGAACCATGTGTGGGAATTATAAATATTTTGGATGGTCAAAACTTTATGCCATGCATCAATATATTCTGAATAACGGTAGTATTTATTTGGGAATTCTGGGGATACTAATTTCTTGATCTGGGAGGATCAGATCTCCAATCACTGAATTGTAACACTTTTCTTATTTGTAACTTGGAATATGACACTATTTTCGAATTTTTCTGAAAGTAATGAGCTATAATAATTGAACCAGTTTCAAGTAATATCATTTCAT